GTTACTGAAGCACCAATGGACTTGTTTGTTCAACGATTTTTACCGGTTGCCATGTACCAGTGTACCATGGTATTGTCTGTTTCATATGCTATGTTGAGCGTGTTAACACAAACTTGGCAATGTCTTTGGCTTGTACGTCAATGGATACATGCCAACCAATATACCTGCAGAACACTGATGCACAAAGTAAGATCCTTGTTGAGCGATAATACTTGTCAAAACTTCTTTAAATGTATTGTGCTCTAAGAGCTCGCTAAATTTCTTGTGTTGTAAAATTCATGTTAATGGAGGGCTTGTAAAAGTTATTTTAGGTTGCATTCCTAACTAAGATGAACTTCTTATGACTTTATGACCTCCCAATAAACTTTGGGTTTTAAACTGGGAAGCTTCTCTATTAGGAACGAGTCGGCAATAAGAGGGGGAGTGAATTAGTGCAACGGTAAAATCACCAGTTTAAAAATCTTCGTACAATAAAACCGATCGGAAAGATGTTAACTTGAAAGCATACGGAAGAGTGTAGTGGATATTAAGCAAGTAAAGAAGGGCAGTTTGCAGTAAATGTAAATTACAAGAATTAAATGCAAACCGAGTTATAGTGGTTCGGTCGTCGTGACCTACATTCACTCTATCGATTCGTCTTCCGTCGAGGCCACCGGTATCCACTAACGGTCTTCCTTCAATAGGTGAAGACCAACCATATTTTATAGCTCTTTCTCCTTTTATCGGGTTTAGGAGATAACCCTTACACCCCCACTTACTCATCTCTCAAACTATTCTAATACTTAGATTTTTGATAGGAGTTCACACAAGATTACAGTAGCGTTTTCTTTCTTTTTCACTCTTAATTCTTGTGTTTTTTAACCAGAGATGAGAGGGATATTTATAGGCCTCAAGTGGATTCAAACTTCGAGTCTAAAAGAGTCTCATCCCGGGTTTCCCGAGTCCTAGCGGTACCACCGCCTGTGCTGGGCGGTACCACCGCCTGACACCCTGCCATTGGGCGGTACCATCGCCTGACACAGTCTCGGAGATTGTGCCATGACGGTTTCACTTGTTTGGTCATTGTTTAGGCCTTTCACTTGGCCCAACATAGCCCATACTTGGGTCACTGAATGGGCCTTTCTCTTGGCCCAAAACAACCATATTTTGGGCTCAGTTGGCCCCTAATTGAGTTGGCTTAATTACATTCTAAACCGATTCAATTAGACTCTAAACTGACTCGATCTAGACATAATCGATTACAAGTGAATCCTTGTTGTCCGGCATGTCATTGGTTCATCCGACGCTTCGTTCGATCCTTCGGCGCTTCGTTCTCTCCTTCGGTGTATTGCCCAATCGGCACATTGTCTTCTCGCAACTTCAGATCTTCTTGGCACAATGTCCGATCTTCTTGGCCCGATGCCCGAATTCACAGCTCGAAGCCTTCTGCCGATACATCAACCATTCCTTCAGCCCGACGTCCAATCTTCTGACATGTTTGCTCCGGCCCAACGTTTGATTCCTCCTGCTTTAATCAATTTGCCTTTTCTGATCAACGTTAGCCCTGTGTCACTTAAACGCACATTAAATTACAAACACTATCAATTGGTTTCATTGTGAAAATCTGAGATTCAACATTCGCAAGGTGCCAGTGGTGGACCATGTGTGCATAATCTGCATGCCAAGTGGGGTACCCACAATTGCAACTTTATTGGAGCAGTATAGTCAAGCTTCGAGTCGACTTATCAATAAATGCAAGAGCATTATTCTCTTGACAAAGAATCCATGAATCTCCGATCTTTGGTGGAAGAAGTTATGGGTTTCAGGGAAGGATCCTGACCCTTTTCCTTGTCTTGAAGTCCCTAGCTTGTGGGACCCTGAAAATGGAGCTCCAGTCTCCTCCCTTTGGCAGCCTATCACACTGGTGTGGTTCTCAATATGAAGCCTTGTGTGAGGCTACATAGTATGCGTCCAACCTTCAACTTGCTTTCTGGCCAGCTGAATGTTGTGCAGATCAAGTGGTTTGAATCTAAACTAATATATTCAGTCACATTAGATGTTTTAAAAGCTGAAAAAGTCGTAAATATAATACATGCCTTTTTATACAATCCTGTGCTCCATTATTGAATCAGGATACCTTTTTGTTTCATAGTTGGCCTCTTTGTGCCTTTGATATTGGGTTTGACATTGTTAAGATTTTTATTGCAGTTGTTCTCATAAACTGGGGAAAAGGGTTTAATATGAGAAGTTTTCATGTTACTGAAAAGCCTGAACTGTAGAGTCTCAAAGTGTTAGAAGTTTCTTTAACGGAAGAAACTTACTGGGTATGTCTCTGGTTTTTGTTTGACTTGGAGGCTTTTGAGGAGGCCATGATCATCATATAAAGAGGAATTAAAGAGGAATTGTCCGGTTAGTACTGTAGAGGAATCTTCCGTTGGTGATCGCAAGAAAGTGGTTTGCAGATGACCTGTTTCTCATCTTTTTTTGTTCTCTTCCTCGTCTTCGTTGCCTGCATGCCTGTGCAGGCACACTGCTGTCCTGTACTGTGTTGCTGATATGTACTGTTTTGAGGTTGGTTGGCCTGGATCATGCTGCACAATGGGTGTTATTTTCTATCTTCTTTATTTCCTTTCACTTTGCCACACTTCTCTTTGTCTTTTCTTGTTTCTGATTTCTAGTTAATAGTTTGACACTGTGGACCTAAATCTGCAAATTACTAGTAATTATCTGGTGGCTTGATGAATTATACAATTCATAATGGAAACTGATAATATATGGTGTGAACATGTAGAATTATCATATATTTTGTTCCATCCTTGCAGGTTTCAGATGGTTGATTCTTGTATCTACTGAACTTGCCAGAAGTTATAACTAATTCAAAAAACAATGGCGGGTTTATCACGCAGCTTGTCGACTTGCCTGCACTCTGGACAGCTTGCTCTATTGGCAATTCTGGTCTCTGGTGGAATAGTATTGCAAATTTTGGTTAGTACAATCTCCACATTGGTCTTCTTTATTTTTTCCTTGTAAAACATCACCCCTATCTTTTCTTTTGTCTACCGTGATGTTTCAGGCATGTGCTTTGTACAATAACTGGTGGCCTATGCTAACAGGTAATGGAGAAATTGATTTGTGATCAAAATTCCTTTTTCTAAGATGAATGTTTGTCTTCATAAGTTTCTGAATTTTTCTCTTCAGCATTGATGTATGTAATTCTTCCGATGCCATTGTTATTCTTTACGGGATCCAACAGCAGCTCACTCATGTCCAATGAGGGAAATGGGTTAGCATTTCCTGTATTTAATTAAGACTGAATTATTGTTTCCCTAGATCTATTAACAAACTCATGGCCTACCTATTGACAGATGGGTAAACTTCACAAAATTCTTGACCGGTGCTTCAGTCATTGGAAGCATTGCGATACCTTCCATCTTGAAGCATGCAAATCTCATCGGATGGGGGGCGCTGGCAATGGAGCTCTCTTCTTTTGTGGTTTTCGGTGTGGCCATCCTATGGTTCCTCCAGATGAGCAATCACGATGACTACAGTTATTTCTAATGCTTGATTAATGTGCGTGTGATTTTTATATTCTAATGTTTTGATTATCGAGTTATGGGAGTGGATTTCTTCCCTCTTGTCTGAATTCAGGCAAATTACTGCTTGTGCATTTATGCTACTCGATCACATTTGTTCAAAGTTGCATGTAACGAGTGGCTACAACGCCTTGTGATTTTGCAATTATGTGAACTTGATCGTGTAACCAAAAGACTCAGATTTTGGAAATACTATCACAAGAAATGCATACAAATGTTGAGGACCGATTTGTTTCCTTTACCCAAAGAAATAAAAAACTATGCATCATGAAAAAGGACATTGTTTGTGCAATATGCTGGATAAGAAGTCAGGTTAAAAGGTGATCATTAAGTGAACCAAAGACTGCTTATGCTGTGATCATGTGAATACTAGTATTCTTATCATGGATTTGACGTGTCAGATAAATAAAAAATATGGATAGTCAATTTAACATGTCACATTGTGTGTCTTAACTAAAGTTTTACTGACTGGCTTATAATTTTGGTGCATTTCATCAAGTCAAAAGCATGGACTTGATAAAAAAATCATGCAACATGTGGGTTTTTAGTATTATATATTTGTTACTGTAAATTCTTGTTATTTTTAAGGGATGCACCTGCTGTCCTTTTTTATTGAGAGAAGTCGGGGATTAATTTGATGGGTGATTATGTAAAATCATCAATTATTATATCAAATGAAATAAAGTTATAAATTGGGTTATTCAATGTTATGTAAAATCATCAATTATTATATCAAATGTAATAAACTTATAAATTGGGTTATTCAATGTAATGTTCGTATATCTTTCGATTTTATTTATATTTGTAGTAGGTTATAAATTGGGTGGGTAGCCCAAGTTTAATTGATTTTTACGATCCTTTCAAGCTTACAAACTATCTCTAGTAGGTTGTGTGTAGTTGTCACGCAAAGATAAAACTGTCTAAAAATAGATCATCAAACTAATTATTATCATTTTGAGTTTTTCTAGCTCCACAAAGTGTAGTGTCGTGAAGTGTTAGTCTAACCGTTGTGTCGAAATGATCGGTAGATCGACATGTCTGTACATCGTGTCAAAACCCTTTGTCAATATTAAACCCCATATCAGTTTTAAATCACCTTTGGTAGTAGAGAATTGACATTCTGCTGTTCGTAATCTTGACCCTAACAAATGTAAAGTTTCCCCTGCGCTGCTCTCTGAAATGGCACATCATTTGTGTACAGTTTCCCCATATCATTTTGATCTTCCTCTTATCTTGTGCCACTTCCAACATCACTCGATGCACCACTCCTTAGAAACTAATCATCCAACTGCACAACCGTAAACGAGTAAATGAATAATTATCTACATCAAGTACAAGAATTGAACTACCATTCCTAGTCTTACAAAATTTACTGACTCTATCAGCTGGACTTTTTCCCCTTGTCACAACTCGGCAAGAATGCTGAGTGAATGAAAGCATAGTTAGTGATTGCATTTAGAAAAGCCAATCAAACTGCTAAGCAATGAATTGCGTGTTCAGTATTTATTACAAGGAATGCAGTAGTGCAGCTGCATTCTGCAATGAGGATGAAGTAACTCTAGTGATAGGACATAATCTCTTTTCAATTCTCCGAGCATGTCTTGTTAAACAGAAACAACACGTGAGGGGTAGTTAGTCTTAATGACCGGTATACATGCCTAATTAAGCTGATCATGCTACGAAAAAATCTGGACTCTGCCGCACAACAATACCTGCAAAAAGTAACTGATAGTTAGAATCTGAATGGAAGTGACATGTACAATAAATATATGCCTGTCAAGAACATAATTATTTGAAAATAATATTATTGCTGCCGAATGAGTGAATACTGAGATAATAAAACATTCTCATCTTTAGATAGAGCAAGGTTATTTTTATAATATGAGATTGTCTAGTGCTAGGAAGATAGTAGAGAACTAGAGATCATAGCATGCCCAAAATAGCCAATATAGTGAACCTAAACATAGAAGCAACTTGGATAACCCGAATAAACTTTGAGCTGCCAAATGTGTGAAATACTCCGTAATCAACTGTGTTGGAACAGGTGAATGCTTATCAGTAAGAAAATATTGAAACTAAAACTAAGCTTGATAACGTTTAGTAGCCTAAGAGCATGTGAAAACAAAATATTTTTTTTCTACATCTGCTGTTTAGCATTGCTAGACAATTTATCAACCTCTTTGGATAAGGATCTATATCATGACTTATAATCTGCAACTACTAAACCAAACACTTGTAACTTTCTGGTGGTATCAACAAACAGATGACCCTAAAGTATTGTAAATCTCATATACTGATACACACAGCATTTGTTGATGATCTTGACATGTTGGAAACATGACGGTCCAATCTCATTACCTTTGAGATGCTAAATGGTAAATAAAACACATTATTGTATCATCGAATGTTTTCACTATAGAAGCATTTAGAGCCCGTGGAGAATAACATTATTTTGTTTTAGAGGAATTTACATGCTCAACTAGGGGACCATCAACCCAAAATGGTCATTAATAATTCAATATTCATGTCAATACAACATGTATCCTTTCAGTTTGTATGCAGGGTCTCCATTCCTTAAACATGCAATTGGACTTGTTCCTCCCCAAGCAAGATGAAGATGTTTGAAAATTTCGTTAGATTCCATCATGTGATAACCTTGATTTCACCAAGTCCCTCAATGAGGAATGCTTGGTTAAGAGAACGATACAGCAATTGACTAATCCAGACAACAGTTGTAGTCAATATCTACATTCACACTAGCAACATTTTGAACAGAGACGGCAATGATTAGAAAACAATAGTCTGAATCCATCTTTCTGTCAAATGGTATCCGGCAAGAGCCTTTGTTTTTTAACTACTTACATTATCCTTCAACTAGGATGTGACTAAGGATAGTGATTGTTACTTTATTAGAAAGCAAGAAACAAACAATTAACTAGAAATCAGAAACAAGAAGAGGCAAAGAAGGGCACCAAAGTGAGAGGAGAGAAAGTAGATAGAAAATAACACCTACTATGCAGCATGATCCATGCCAACCAGCCTCAAACCAGTGCATATCAGCAACACAATATGAACAGCAGTGTTCCTGCACAATTTGTGACTCGGAAAGTGATTTTGCAACTACAATTCCTGCACGGAATGGTATTGACTGGCAAGACCCATGGTTCTTCAACCACCATTGTACCTTATCCTTTAACTAGAATGTGACTAAGGATAGTTGCTGTTACTTTATTAGAAAGAGAAAAATCAAACTATTAACTAGAAATCAGAAACAGGAGAAGGTAAAGAAGGGACCAACGTGAGAGGAAAGAACGTAGATAGAAAATAACACCTACTATGCAGCATGATCCAGACCAACTAGCCTCAAACCAGTACATATCAGCAACACAGTACAGAAGAGCAGTGTTCCTGCTTAGTTTGTGACGAAGGATAGTGATTTTTTTACTACCATTCCTGCACATGAGTGGCAAGACTTGTTCTTCAACTACCATTATACCTTATCCATTAACTAGGATGTGACTATAGATAGTGATTGTTACTTTATAAGAAAGCAAAGAATCAAACTATTAACTAGAAGTCAGAAACAAGAGAAAGCAAGGGTACCAAAATGAGAGGAAAAAAAGTAGATAGAAAATAACACCTACTATGCAGCATGATCCAGACCGACCAGCCTCAGACCAGTGCTGAACAGTGGTGTTCCTGCACAGTATGTAACTGAGGATAGTGATTTTCAACCACCATTCCTGCACAGGATGGTATGACTGGCAAGATACATTGTTTTTCAACTACCATTGTACCTTATCCTTTAACCAATATGTGACGAAGGACAATGATTGTTACCTTATTAGAAAGTAGAAAATCCAATCTAAAAGTTTGTGCCTTACCCCGATAAAGACTTCTTGGTAAAAGAAATTACTGACAGTGTATAAAAATGTAAAATAATTGTGTCCAAGGAACTAAAATGGTCTATACACCATAGCATGATTGATATTTTTAATGAAGTTGGTTATAAATTTTATCAACAATGTTATCCAAAAAAGTAGCATCCTAGAATAATGTTACCTTGTATATAATGTAGTTTATTATCGTCAGAAGCTGCTCTATTCAACCTGCAAATGCATGCCAACAAAAAACAAAGCATCAATGTATGTCTGACTTCATAAACGGGCACATAAGCTGGCTTATGCAGCTTCAGGCATACCCCAGGTTTCAGAAGTGTTCATCAACTTCTCATCACATGCAAATGAATTGACTATAAAATAATAAAATTGTGTAGTGTGCACACCATTCAACTCATATTTTGCCGAAGCAATTTGCTAATAAAATATTGTGCTTGTACATCTAGATGAATCTTGAAAACATCCATCATATAAATGAAGATCTTACTTTGGTATGGAAAGGGGCAAAAATAGCCTTTACAGATTCAAAAACCTCATCAATAGGCTTCAGAGCATCAACCTGTAATGTATCCAGACAACAATTAGTAATTTCTCAATTTTCTCATGAAGCCTTACTGCACATCCACATTGGTTTATGGGAAAGTAAAAAAAGTTAATTCATAATTATCAACATCAGATGTTATCTAAAAGTATAGTTAGTAGATTCTCTTGATACTTTACTCATCTCTCTCTCTCTCTCTCTCAGAAATGTGTGTGTATTGGGGGGGGGGGGGGGGGCGGTGGGTGTGGGCAGAAAAGGAGGGGGGCACAGCTTGAAGGCACATAATTTCTTATCCTCTGCAAATAGGTGGACTAGGTTAGAACAAACCTAGAAGAAAATTACAAGATCATAAGATAGTACCGCCCTAGCACTGGATTTCTTATCTACACCCTGTAGGAAACCGAGAATACTCAGACGAGCAATAATCAACTAACTCAAAAAGTAAAAATTACTTACAGTGCCACCACTAATATCAGAGAAGTTGGTACTTTGAGTCAAAAATCAAACAACTCTGAACTTTTATTGTAGAATGAAGAAAACATGGTAAAATCTAGCATTGACAAATTTTTTGAAGGACTGCTGGTAGATACCTTTCGAACCTTGCCCTTCATGTCATAATACTCAACTACAGGTAAACTGGATTCCACAAACACTCTAAAACGCTTCCTTATGGTTTCGATGTTGTCATCATCTCTTCCCTGGACCATACAGAAGTATTAGTGGTTCACAAATTAAGTGGGTGTGAAAATCAAATTCGAAAAACAGATGACAGAACCTGGTTTCGACTTAAAAGTCTCTGTTCCATCTCTTCCTCAGGGCAATCAAAAAATAGGACAAATTCTGGCTCAATTTTTGTCTGTAATAACAAACAATTTTACTGTGGATGTAAACCAATATTGAGATATAGCTAATCATGAAGCTACCAGCATATTGCTCACTTACAACATTCTCAAAAGCAGCACGATTCTCTTCATTTCGAGGAAAGCCATCAATAAGAAATTTGTCATTTCCGCTTTCAAGCATAGCCTTCTGTAAAAGGTTAATTGTAACCTCAGAGGGGACAATTTTGCCTTCCTTTATCATGTTAGAGATCATGGTGCTGGACAAAAAGCATTAAAAGAAAAAAAATGAGAATTTCCAACTACATAAGATGACAAAGAACTTCAGCTTAATTTACATATCCATATGGAGCATACCAACCAGTTGTAAAGAAATCAAGTTTTAAAAGAGAGGATAAGTAATGGACTACCAAGCAAATCTGTGCTCTGGAGAGGCATGTTCAGTTTAACAGAGGAACAGAGGATGACCATTGGAAGGCCAAACTAAGACATCTGACCTGGAGGTTCAAACTATTTATGTCACGATACTGCCATTGCCTTCATCCTAAGCCAAACTATTTCTGAGCATTTTCTTTCTCACTCAATTTCTCCTTTGGTTGCCTTCCCTTCTCCCTCTGTGGCTAACTTCTCTTCTTGAAACACACTCTTGGTAGTCTTCTTTCCTTTGCCTGAATTTTTCCTTGACTCAGGTCAGAGTTTGGTTCAAATGCCATTGAGAGAGAAAGTCACTAGCCACCTCATAACAGGTCTGCAAAATGGTTCTTCAACCCAGCAATATGGTGGTCTCCATAACTAATTGATTCCTTGTCACTACATACTGCATGCTTCCTTCTCTTGTCAACTCTCCTCAGTTTCTTCTTCTATTCTTCCCTTATTTCTCCTCTCACCTTTTCGAAGTTCTTCAAACAATTATAGAAAATGTGTCATTTACGTTTCCCACAGCTTTCAACTGCATATCCACCTTTATTAACTTCGGGCAACTTAAAGTTCAATCATTTCAAGTGACTTCCCAGTCAATTTCATGGCACTCTAGACTGCTAATGTAGCAGAGTGGTAAGATCCTAAAGTATGAAGTCAGGACAATCTGTCCCACCTAATTCTACCCTCGTCAAAGTTGAAGCCTGATAATAGAATTATAGGAGCTATAAGCTTGCATAGTACATAAATATTAGATACTAAAACCAAAGAAAGACATTGTTCAATACCCATTTTCTGAACCGGACTTAATTTCTGCACGCAGAAGATCACCAGCACTAAGATGGGTAAAACCAAAGTTTTCAACAATTCTTGTGCACTGTGTGCCTTTTCCACTGCCAGGCCCACCTGTCACAAAAAAAAAAAGAGAAAATGAAACAACAAGAGAAACCAGAGAGACATCAACCAACCAACAAAAGCAGAGGCAAGAAAGTAACACAATATGATATTTGGTCATTTACTACATCTGTGAAAATCACTTGTCATCTAGTAAAAAATTTATTGCATAAATCACACTGGCACATACAGAACTGCATGCCATCTTTTCACAAAAGAACAAAAAGGAATGTGAAAGTAGAAAACTGGATTAGTGTCAAGTATTCCTAACACATGAATATGTCTCTTGTTATTTAGCATTAGATTGCCATTTGAATTTCTGTAAAAATGGGAATTAGGATACAAGCAGTAGTACCATTCAGAAGGAATGATGGATTGTAAGTTCAATAACAAAGATTTACTAAACAAAATGCTCAGAATTTTCACTGCCTGATGATGACAGCATTAGAAACTTGCCAGAATTATGGACAATTACAAAGACAATAATTGGACTAAACGACGAATTTCTTGGAAAATTTAAAATTGGTCAAAGAATTCAAATCATTTTTTTTCAAGCAAGAAAGTCTTACCTAACACAAAAACAACAATGATCTTGTTGTCACCTGGGAAGCTCCCATTAACATCCTGCATTCAAACAGCTAAGTATTGTCCTTGATATCACCTTAAAGAAAGTGAACTTCTACGAAAAAAAATAAGGAAAGAAATTCCACAGAGAAAACATAGATAAAGTGATTATTCAAACTTTATATACCATATTCGACAAGAGCATTATGAATATAAGGGAAAAATGCTAACAGAAGGTCTATTTCAAAGGGTACTGATAATGCCAACAGAGGAACACAAGAGAAGTCCCAGTGGAATAAATAAGTAGAGCTTCGATGACCAGCAAGATAATCTCTTTCAAATAAAATAACTCAGAAAGGAGTATACCTTGGTTGAATCTACCATGGTGCCCATGAACGCAATTTAACTTTCAAGTTGTGACGTCTGCAAGGGCAGTCGTTCAAATTGTTTCAGCATATATCAAGTGCATGCCAACCAAGATACATAAACACAGCAGTATATTGGAAAGGTTTTTCCAAAATGAGATCACGTTGGAAACTTCAGGACCACGAAACTCTACTAATCAATACAAAGAGAGGTAGCAAATTGCAATCAAAGGAAGTCATCAGCTTCAAATGAATGAGCAGTTTTATTGATCTTAGCAGAATACGAGTTATGCCATGTCAAGTCAAATGCATCTCTATAACGGGTCTAATCCACGTATATCCGTTACTCCACACAACACAAACAGAACAGAAGTAAACTGCAACGCACAGAGAGGCAGATCCAAAAACCAGAAAGAACGGTCATTCATTCGACAACACTAATTCCACCATCTACCTCAAGAAACGAAGCTAAACCCTTGTTCCATCTAACACCTAAATCCCACCAGAGAATAAACAAGAACCGGAGAAGATCTATGCTTCAACTGAACGCAAGAACGCGTACCAAGAAAAGAAATCGTCGAAACCCACAGATCCGTACACCATATTCGCCAGATCAAAGCATATTAAACCACATGATCTGATGCTCCGCGACGGAATCGAAGCATGAGGAAAAGCAGGAGGGAATCGCATCAACGCATCAGATCCGGTGAGGGAGGCAGGAGGGGGAGGTGAGAAGAGAACGAGATCCGATACCTGAGACCGACAGCTTCGATTCCGACGCCTCTCCCTTCTCCTCCACGCTTCTATTCTCTCGGTTGCAAGGAAACAAGCCTTGGAGGAGGGAAATCGGGATCACGGGCTTATTTATAGGCAGAGAGGGTGGCCAAGGAAGCCACGAGACGAGCCAAAAAAGCTTCTGAGTATCAAGGTTCGGAAACGATCAACGGCGCTTCGATCTCGATCGAACGGTCAGTATTACCTGATGAGGAGACCATACTCAAAAGTTGCCCCTCGCTCGTCCGCAGCCCAACCGGGTCCCACCATGGGGCCCGTGTTGTTCGTCCTCAGAGGCAAGTCGCGCAAATATGAAACGGTCAAACCAAATAACCGAAAAATCTGTATATATATATATAATATAATATAAATATAATATATATCGAGGGACACTTGTCTTCGCTAATTTTATAAGGAAGAAACAATGATCCATTATCATGATGTGGTATCTTTATTTTCTTTCAATTATTGATCATATTATTCTTTTGTTTCACTAATTGATACATTGTTCTTGATCATATTTATTAAGAAGCCTAAAAAAATTGATGCTGTGATCGATGTACTTTATTGTGGCTTTAATGATTATTTTCATGAATTAACGTAGGTTTTAGAACATCACACTCCACAAGATTAAAGGAAGTCTCGAAAGTTTAATGAAGCTTGCTAAACGAACTGCATCAATATTGCTAGAAAACATGAACTCTTACTCTCTTACACCCTTAAATAAACAGAAAAAAGAAAAGAAAAAGAGGGGCAGATCCAACACGTGAATGACTGAAGTAGAGGATCACTCGATGGAGACGATGATGCCATGGGCAATGCTCGCCAACCTGCTGAAGTCTTTGTCCATGGACGCCAAAGGAAACGATCCCTTGGATTCCTTGAACGCCTCCTCGCACTTGTCCGCCGCGTCCATGGCGCCGTCGAGCTGCGCCATCGCCTTCTGGTAGAGCCGGGCGGAGAGGTTGTCGAGGGCGTCCCTCAAGCGGTCGGTCGCGTCAGTGTACACGTCCAGGCAGGTGTTGAAGCAGGACTTCACGGTGGCGTCGTTCTCCAGGTCCATCAGCTCCTCGATCTTGGACTCGGTGGCTGTCGCGTGGGAGATGGCCAGCTTCGCCGCGGTGGCCGCCAGCTCGTGCAGGTCGGTGGGCTTGACCAGCGACGTCGCGGCGCCGAGGGACGAGACGCAGAAGTCGTAGCCGACGGCCGGCTGGGTGTCGACGACGGCCTTGCAGGCGTCCTCGACGGTGGCGGGGCTGCCGCACGTCTGCTGCTGGACGGCGGCGGGGAAGGCATACGGGGCGGAGAGGAAGATGGCGAGGTAGAGGTAGAGAAGTGGCTTCATGGCGGGGCTCATGGGGGGGGGTGGGGGCGGCGCACAGAGAGCAGAAGGCTGCTTATGAACACTGTGGTGGAGACCTCTTCTTTCGGGGAAGGCGTGCAGGTGTTCTACGGGGAGAGAGGCATTGAACAGTTCATATACACAAATAGCGAGTCTAGTGTTCACATACTGAGTGTGGGAGTATCTTTTTTACATTTAAATATATGTTTAGATATTCTCACTAATTATTAGCATGGTAATGAAAGAGGAGAATAAAAGCATATGCAAAATATGATTTAGTGACCAAATTTATATATTCTAATGTTATATGTATAAGATTTTGGGTATATGCTTTACACTTTTATTATGCTTATAACAAAGAAGAAATATGAGAATTGAAGAAAACAATGAACATGGAAAGGAATTTGGATCTCAAGGCAATAATATTTACTTGAATTTGTATACATTATTTGACACCAAGAAAAGGTACACGAATTGGAGGATGAAACATTGGTACAAGTTCTTGAGATCATTTGCGGAGTTCAGCTAAGGAAAACAAACTTGGGATGTGGCCTATGTAGGCTTTGGCTGCCAAAGAAATTTATGGCATTGCGACTCATTTATGTATCCATGCATTTCACATGGGACACAAAGATGACAGGAAGATAATTTAGATTCATGGAAATATAAATGCAGCTAAGAAATGATATCCTGCCAATCAATACTAGTTAAAAGCATGTTCTATCATCATGTCTTGAGTTGAATCATTAGTACTTATGTTCAGTCAATAATTAGAGATCAAGCAATGGAGCTATAAGAAGAGTGCTATGACAGTTAAAGATGAAAGATGTGCTACATATCAGTGTTTTCAAATTAGATTCAAGGGAAATAGATGAAGCTGACAGAGGAAAAAGAGACATGAAATATTCTGCCATGCAAACAGTATAAACTTCTCAAGGATCACACTTACTGAGTAGTCACTTAAAGCACTGTTTTTGAGGAGTTATCAATATGAATCTACTTCAGGTGAAGATTTGAAGAGCTCCGACGACTACCAAATTAACCTTCACCAGCTTTAGGAGGCTTCAAATTGGAGATTAATGTCAACCACATATTCCAACAGCAAATAGAGAACATATCCTAGTGCACTACTGGATCTGGGTTGAATTTCAGTGATTCCCTCCAAATGAGTTCTTTGATATCTTCTTCAGTATGTGATGGATGTTCAAAATCGAAACTGAATGGAGTCGGGCAAACAGGTTCATCATTAATTTCATGAAGAGAAGCCAAGTATGGGTGGTGCAGAGCTTGATCAACTGCCACAAAAAAATAAACATGATTGTTTTCTTGAAAAAATAAGATGACAGCAGCTGCCTAAAGCTGTATCAAGAAACATTAGAAGACTTGATATACCAGTAATTCGCTTGTTTGGATCAAAAACAAGCATTTTTTCTAGCAAATCAGTGGCTTCGTTAGACATGGTGTGAAACCTAGCATGAAATTGTTGCTTCGGGTATTGAGGAAGTTGTCTCATGTATCTTCGGGCATTGTCACTTCGGAGAAATCCGAGGCTTGAGTCATCAGGTGAACCTATTAGCTTCCCACAGTGAAGAATTAAATGAAATGTCAGTTTATTAGCTACAAGAAGAAATCTTTTAACTGAAAAAGAAAGTGATTTTTCTCAAATCATTGATTTATGTTAGGCCAAAGAGTATAGATATTTAAACAATTAAAGCGATTGAAGTACAAACAACGGTTCTGATACATTATACAGTTGTGTCAGCAATAAATTCAATTGCACCACCAGTATCACCAAAAATTTCAACTGTGGTTGAATGAATGAGTATACGTTTATGTGCATTAGCATAGTTGCTAGTCAGGTAGCTATTATGGATATTGGATATTCTTTACATAAAAAACAGACCAAGGATTGCTATTTCATACATCAGTGCCACAGTGGACCAGTATGTATCAGTATGGCACAGGCTGGTGCTGTACGAGTTAATTATGTTTGTCAAGGGTGTCATGAGCACTCCCTCACATCAGAAGGGAGATCTTGTATTGATGTCCGAAAAGACTGGTAGGTTTGTCATACCTTGGTAACAATCCATATACTGGCATGCTGCATTGGTAGAGATTTCACCATACATATGTTGCAAATGATTGGCATGTTAGGTGCACAGGTTCAACAGAACAAGGAGGCATATGCACCTGAGAGTTGTATTTTTGGTTGCTAATAATGGTTTTTGACCTTACTCTTAAATGTTACAATGCCCCTTCTATGACTATGACATCAGTTTTAGCCACAGAAAATAGATAATAATCAAAATGTAGCTCAATCATGAACAACACGATCAAACATTTTATCAGAAAGTTGAGGTAGAAATTGGAATGTCACCACTCACTACATTTTGCATTCTACAAGTTATATTAAGTACATGAAATGTGCAAACAACAGACACTGTTGTACATGGAGAATTGCCAAGAAACAAGACCACAGAAGTATAGGACTAATGAGTTACAACTAATCATAGAACACACAAAGTAATGTTTAGTGATCACTTAATCATCATTAAAGTAGTTTATATGAAGTCAAGACACTGTTGTACATCAGATAGACTACTTTGTATGGCGCATTAACAAGATGTTAACAATGATTAAAACATAGCAAGGATAAAAGATAAATACCAAAAAGAATCATGATTTTTAACAGTGTAAAGCATTAGGTGTAATAAGATTTAAGTTGTTTGACATTAACAATACAATTATAACAGGTAATTTCATATGCAAGTAATCATAGTATAATATATATTTGATCATGGAATGCACTTAAACTTGTACCTCAGTTATCAGCCTTAACTGATGGACATAGTCTTTACCAGGAAATAATGGTTCCTTGGTAACAATTTCGCCAAATATGCATCCTACTGACCAGATGTCAATAGCAGCAGTGTACTCCGAACAATTAAGGAGCAGTTCCGGTGCTCGATACCAACGTGGGACAACATATTCAGTCATGAAATCTGTCTCAGAAGTCGTCCTTGCCAGTCCAAAATCTCCAATCTTAAGGTCACAATTTGCGTTTATCAGCAAATTGCTGGGCTTAAGATCACGATGCAGGACATTGGCTGAGTGCACATATTTCAGCCCTCGAAGTAATTGATACAGAAAGAACTGCCAAGAATAATTGAATATCATGCAAGCCAGAATTCAAAGATATTAGGTAAACAAATCCTTGTGATACACCAAACTATCATGCAGCAAGACAAAAAAACTAAGGTGCCTTTGATATTGCAGAAAATCTACTTAACAGCAACAACTGAAAAGATAAATAACTGAAGCCTATATTAGCAACTTATATTCAATATGGCAATCCGCATTTGGATGGGAAAAAAAAACAGAGCCTAACATCTGGAGCCTAGAACCCTAAATTTGCAACAAGATCTGCTAAGAACTAATATGTCAATAATCAAGAAAGATTGACCATGTGAATAACTGAATTTGAAAGGCTGATATTTTAGTTAGAAATAAGTAGCTGAACATACAGTAAAAAGCTTTTCGGAATGCAGTAGAAAGAAGAAGATTATAAAGGTTCATGTGACATCTTCCAAAACTGCAGATGGACATTTAACATGATATATATTGTAGTTTCCAATTTATTATTATCTTCACCAATAGTTTTGGAGCATTCAAGAGAACCAAAAGAAGTTTGTATCTTTCAATTTCACAAATATTTAGCATCCCATTATTGGTCAAAATGCCTTGTTTTTGCTTGACCTTTTCAAACAGTCTTCTATGAGCAAGAACAGAAGACATATGAAACAACAAAGCAGCTTTAGAGAACATATATGAAACACATCATTTTGGTGTGGAGGTTACCATCTGATATGCACTTGATCCATAGTTCATATGGAAAGTTGTGTGATTTAGCTAAAATTTACAAAAAAAGGTTAGTTTCAACCTACATGATCAAATCATTACTTTAATTTTCATATTCTTTTCATAATAACATCTGAATATAACTAAGTTTATTGAGCTTGTGCAATTCTTTATTCAGTAATTGTTTTGATGTTACTACAACAATTTCTTTTTCCTTTTATGTGGGTTTCATTTGACACTCCAGTTAACTTAGAAGTTCTTGAGATCTGTACTTTGCACAGATCTTAAAGTTTTGCAATAATCACATATAAACTTTTGAAAGTAAAGTGCTCAATGAGCAAATGGAGAAAATTCACAAAAGAATGAGATCACAAGTAATGGAGAGTGAAAATTTACACAAAAGTGTCCAAATGTAGAAGTTAGGGCATTCAAGAACACAATACATAATCTTTAAAAAATCTACGTTTAAATACTCGCTCGAAGATATATCAACAAGCAAACAAGTCATTCTTCAAATTCATAAATGATCTTTAGAGCTTCACAATAAAACTCATGTAGGTTTGATAATATTATATAAAACTCATGAAGGACTTCATTCATCTTCCAGGTGGGTTGTAATCCAAAGAAATTGCTAGCATCAAACCTGGCAATGGTTGTCTGTCAATGGCTGGTTGGAGTGTATTATGTGATGAAGATCAGTATCCATTAACTCGTAAACAATGTAGACATCATTGAAATTTTCCCTGTTTGGAGGGCGTATGATGTCCTTTATTGCAATAACCTGTACTGGAGAATAGTTATCACAGTGTGCAAGTACTACAAAGGTAAGGCTGAATGTTTAAAGCTTCAACAATTAGATATATATGTTGGCTCAAAACAATTAAGTGCATATGTTCTGAAAAGATGAAGAACCTCGTAAGGAATAATTAACTCCATATTAAAATAACTTAACTAAAACCTTATCAAACTATGAAAATGAACCATAGATCAAATCCAAATTTTGCAAAGTGTAAGAGTAATTAACCAAACTAAAGTAGCAAATAATAATACCAAATACGCACTGTTGTTGAAACAAAACATTAGGGATCAAATGTTCCTTTCTTGAATATTTCCTTTGTGAAAGCTGCCAGATTAAATATACGAAAATCAATAAAAATAAATATTCCTCACAATTTCCTTTTTAGTTATTAATCAAAATTTCAATAACTGAATTTATATTGATAAAGCATGAATATTACATATAGCCCAAAGTCAAAATACAAAAAGAACTTTGAGACTTAACATACAGTTGATGGTACCTCTGACTACCAACTAAAGCCACCAATCAGGAGTAATCAAAAGTAGCTAAGTTCCAACTGAGAACAGAGTAGTAATAAGCTTCAAGCAGAAAGACTTCATAGTTACAATGATGCACGCTTAAGGTTAACATGCCATCTGCACTAGAGCTTCAAATAGATAGACTCCAAAGCTTTACAATGACATGGCTCAAAGTTCAACCTGTTACATTGAACAGATTCCAATTATTGAAGATGATTGTCTTCTTCCTGATTCATATTAGACTTCCTACCAAACTTCACTTCCACCACATTAATGACTTAAGAACATGCCTCATCTACTTCTCCAGTTGGAGAAACAAGCATTTCTTTCAGAGCAGATCAGATAAACCATGACAGCCAGAGCACATCAGTGTATCCCCTTGCTTTAATGCCTTTACTTTGATGTTTCTTTTAATCAAGAGAATTTCCTAAACCAAGATCACATCTCGAAGGCTCTATGCTACATCCCCATATTTTTAATATTTTAGTCACTGTGATTTGGAAAATGGAACATCCTGTGGGACTTAAAGTTTCATAAACGAACCAAACCAAATTTTGTATTCGAAGGCTTCATTGGTGGCAATTCATTAGGACATGAACAAAGGATAGTATGACACAAAAATAGTGGAGCTTTATAGTACCTACAACAAACATCATAACCAAACTCATCAGCACAAGATTTATGTTAATGATAATGATACCTGTTTAAGTGCTTAAGAAACATCTGGGCAGAAATTATTCCTAAGAGATCAAGATCACATAAGAAACATCAAGTCAAAGGCTGCTTCTAATGACTTTCCCTTGGGTGGGGAAGTAAAGCATTTCAATATTGGCCAATGATTATGAAGGACAGGGTTATCCAACATCAGATCTTCAGAAGACCTGTTTTACTTGCAAATTAATTGAATGATAACAACAACTAGAAACAACCTGAGAGAAGCTGATAGAAGTAGGAGTAATGTCTGTTTCACACCAAACTTACATTCTCATGATTCATGTGACAAAGAAGCTTTATTTCTCTTAAAGTCCTTTTGGCATCAATTATATTATCAAATGCATTGCTGATCTTCTTTATTGCAACCACTTCATGGGTCTGAGAATTCACTGCAGCACTAAAGTAAAGGTAGAGAAGTAACACCTTATTAATCTTGATATTCCCAAAAATTGATTAGAAGAATTAAGGTAACAAACTTTGCAGCAAAGAAGATAAAATTATCCTGTGCTAATAAAGTGAAGAGAGAAAACAAAACTATTTCATGATTGCATCCTGACTCGCAAAGTTGAACGAAGAAGGTAGTTATGCAAAAGACATCATCATGGAGAATGAAGAAACCCTTTTCTTTGAAAAGGCATCCATAATATCTTTTTTTTCCCATCTTTTCAATATCTTAGGAAAAGATATTGATATGCTATTGAGTTAGCAAGAAAACAACATTAAACATTTCTGCAATAACTTCGGAAAAGCACAAAGATAATCAGCCCGACTTCCTATGCGTAATTAAAAATGAAAAGAATCAGAACCAAAATCAACTATAAACAAAAATCAATTAAATGCACCAAAGCTAAATCACTAGCTGGATGACAGAGATGACATGCAACCACCGTTGGAGTAATGGTTAGGATACTAAAAGGCGTACCCCCATAATTTAGGTTATCCCATATCAGTGCTGACAAGGATTCATGCGGAGGAGAACGTTTAAACAATCACCTTATAGCTAATCATCCTTTTTCTTTCAAATATTTTCTTTGAAGGATAAAATTTCAAAGCGTCTATCTCTCTTCTACAAGCAATTCTGCTTCAAGATCTCTTTGGATCTATCTAAGCCATGATACCAACTCGGAACTCAATATCACTCCGTGAAAAGTCACTCCGATGGAATCCTTACCTTCCTTTTTTCTTGTATAACTCCAACTCAAACGTAGAGCAAACGCGAAGGGAAGGAAGACCCAACCGGAACTCGACAACATCTTCATCACAAGCTTATCAACCGGAACTAAAAACAACTCGGAAACCATAAAAGCGGGAGCTTTCTGGCTCACCAGACGATGCCGCTAGCGCCGCGGCCGATGCGGCGAAGGGGGGGGACGTACTTGGCGGTGACCTCGAAGAGGTTCCCGTACACATTGTACCTCACGTATCGCCCGCCGTGTGTCTGGACGCCCTTGATGTGACCATCCCCGCCGGCGGCGGCGGACCCGGACTCCATCATTCCGTGGACCTCCTCCTCTTCTTCCTCGGAAAAGATATTAAAAGAGGGAGAACAGGTAAGGGATGGGGGGAGGGGAACGTTGGAACTTGTGGAGGAGAGGAGGATGAGGGAAAGGAGGGAGGGAGGGAAGGGGATGCCCGTGAAACGGGAGTTGAGGAGCACTTTCTACTCCGCTTCGGTGACGGCCATTTCTTTTGGACGCTTCCCGTCGCCATCGATCGCTCTTCCCCGAGATCAGTTCCGAAGCACCGAAGGAGGGAGAGTACTTTCTACGGCTGTGTTGTTGAGTACTTTTACATGTATACCCTCAAACACTATTAAAATATCATATTTACTCCTTTGAAACAGAATATTCCATTAGCATTCCTCCTAAAGAATTAAATTAATTATTTATTAAGCATAATTGATTCTGATAAGTTTGAATAAAATAAAGATAAATAATATAATAAATGCATTTGGAAGAAATATGCATTTGAAGCATAATTTACTTTTATCTTAAAATCCGAGGATTTTATTATTATATTTATAATGTATTTTTTAATCTTTATAAATATGTGAAGGTAGACATTAATACAACAATAAGATTATTTTTTTATTACCTAAAAATTTTTGAATTAAAAAAATATATTTTTAAATATTTAAAAATAAAACTAGATATATTAATTCTCGAGTGAGTGAGAGTCTCGTATATTAAATATGCCTCTTTCACTTTTTCAATATGTCTATCCTAATATATATTTTGTGTCATCTCTTACCTGGACAAACTAAGAACCTTAACAAATCATATCATCATAGGTATCATACCCAGATGTCATCCTTCAGAGAATGCACTCGTCAATTACTATCATCAATGACCCTCTAGCAGGGTAAAGGATACCTTAATTTACTGTCGTCTTCACGCTATCGATCGCTCATATATAAAACTCGAGCCCACATGCTAAACGGGAGTAGGCAGACTCTACCTTAACTCTTTTGAGCCCTATTAGACCCCCTTAAATTATTGACTTGAGCGTCGAATTGATCAGATCGAAACATACTCTCAATGTCAACCACTTGTACAAGACCCAAGCGTGACCGAGGAGGAGTACCTTGGAGTGACACTAAGCACCTTTGGAAGGTCAAGTCATACCTCGGAATGATCCCGAACTTTCCCTAGCTGATGAGCCGCACCTCAAGATGACCGTGAGTTAGCCATTATAAACCAGCAACGCCTCGAGAGTCCACCTACCTTCTCGGCTGCCCGCTCAAGTTGGTTCCTCTGCTTCGACGCAAACCCTAAGGATTAATCTGTGCCTTTGAGATCAAAGCATAACTCTTGTTACGTGGAGTGAAGCGATCTTCGAATATATGTCCAAAATCGTTTGCTAATGACTCTGAAATGTATGTATAAAAGTTGATAATACATCAAACAAAATCATATTAAGAAAACATACTTATAAGAGATCTTCATCGTAGGGATCTTATGAACAAGTTCATGCACTGTGTACCCATACAGAATTAAATTAATTATTTACTCTTTTGAACTGGAATATTGCATTAGCATTCCTCATACATAATTAAATTAATCATTTACTAAGCATAATTGATTATGATTAGTTTGAATAAAATAAATATAAATAATATAAAAATACATTTGGAAGAAATATGCATTTGAAGCATTATTTACTTTTATATTAAAATCCAGGGATTTCATTATTATATTTATAATTAATTTTTTTAATATTTATAAATATGTGAGAAGGTAGAATGGTAAGATTGTTTTTTTGTAACATAAGAAATCCATATTCGAATTATGAAAATAATCTCTTTAAATATTTAAAGATAAAACTACCGTATTAACGAACAAGAGCTTCAGATACGCCTCTTTCATTCTTCAATAATGCCTATATATATTTTCTTCTGAAGATTATGAAGAGAGTAGGAAACTATATTTTTTAAGAGGTGAATTTTTGCGAGGTTGTTTGACACTTTTGTAAGTGTTCATGCAGTACTGTCTGTTCTTGTTTGGCACATTATCAATTTCTGCACATTTTGGAGCAATCAAAGGACTTGCCAATCATTTCAGACATGTCTCTAGAGATCCCTTCACTCCAAGAAAAAAAGACGATGACAATCATCCTCACCTCCTCGGGTGGAGAGAAGGGAGCTCCGATCATCGTCTTTAGTTGACAATCATGGTGCACACACGATGGTATGACCCATTTCTTTCCATGTGAAGGTCGAGAAGAAAGGTCTTATTCAGAAGGTCCTAACTATCCAAGTGGAGAAGGTAGATCTCATGCACAAAGTCTAAAGGCGATGATTGGAGTGCTCTTGCTCTCCATCTGAGGCGAGAACGATTGTCATGGTCTTTCTTTGTTACGTGGAGTGAAGGGATCTTCGAGGACATGTATGAAATAGTTGACCAATCACTCCGAAATGTATAGAACTTGATAATGCACCAAACAAAATCAAATCACAAAAACGTATTTGTAAGATATCTTCTATGATCTTAAATTATTATTTAGGACAGTGCATGAACTATTCAATAAGTATTTAGGAATCTCGATAAGATCTTAATACAACTAATCAAGTCGTCATGCCATATGATGAACTCCTTCCAAGAATGCCAAACCAAGTGAGGCCTTCTCTTCTTCTTTTGTCTACCTCAACCTTCATCATGAGAACAGCACCCAATTTGACTATCTTCTGCAACAGCGTCGACAAATCTTGCATTCGATGCCATGGCACGGCGGAGCCTTACATCTTCACCATCGAAGGAAAGAAGATGGAGAAGATGAGCTACTTGACTTGTGCAAAGATGATGATCGGAACTCCGAGTCAAGTAGCTCCGATCAATTGCCAACCGGGGGTCTTGCGGCAATTGATCGGAAATCCAATTCCAATCGTCTTGGATTTGGTGGAGAAGGTATAGATCTTACGCGGAAGATCCAAAGGGGGGCGACTCGGAGCTCCCTTCTCTCCACCGGAGGAGGTGAGGATGATGTCATCCTTCTTTCTTGTGTGGAGCGAATGGAACTCCAAAACACATACATGAGATCAGACCAAGAGAATATATTTATAAGAGATCTTCATCGCAGGGATCTTTGTCAAGTTCATGCACTGTATCATTAAAAACCCTAAAAGATTATTTAGGACAGTGCATGAACTCTTTGCGCAGTAATTATTTTGGATTGTTTTTTCCCACGGTTCATGAACTCGTTCACAAGATCAAATCATACACTTCACGTAATGCATGTCACTAAAAGATTTGTTTTGTTGTCACTCAATCCATCATCGACTTGTGGCTTTAGATATTTCATAAGCTTAATTAGACAGAAACCATTACGCTAAAACGTCAACTCGCTTGACTTTTCGATTGCTCCGGGTGAGTCAACCTCCCGTGCTTTGGCTCACAGGTGGAGATGTAGTCGAGGAAGTCAGAGAGGTCGGTGTCCTTGTACAGCCTCGGATGGTCCCTCGTCGACCAGCTCCGGCTACGGGCGGACCACGCTCTCGAGGGAGAGGCTGTGGAGAGACGCCACCGACAGCCGAGGGTTGGAGGTGCGGCTCACTCTCGTACCTCCCGTTGCTAAATATCTGAATCGTGAGAGATCCAAACACCATGATTATTACTTGATCAACAAGCAATCTCGTCCATGTTAAGCCTAGATCTCTGTTTCATAGCTGACCTACGTGATCGCCGACGTCGACGACGAAGGAACTCAGAGGAGGGTCGACGGTAATCCATTCGCCCCTGTGCAACACCCCTCAACCTCAAGGTGAGAAGAAGATGTGAGAAGAAACTATGAAATGTATAAGATGTAATTGTCTAGTTCATTTTGATGGTGAGCTCTTGATAGCTATTTATACATAGTCAGCAGGGAGGTTATACACATTCAGTATGGAGGATTTCATACTGCTTAGAGATTTCCTCAAGGCAAGAAATTTTATCTGTTTATCATGCCCCCGCAAGGTTGAGCTTCCATCAAGGATGCCGATCTTGGACCGATGAGATGAAAAAAGTTTACGGGCAAGAGGTTTTGTGAGTGAGTCTGCTAGTTGATCAGCTGTATGTATGTGAGAAACATGGAGTTGATGTCTGACAACTTGATCTCGCACAAAATGGAAGTCAATGGCTATGTGTTTCATGCGGGAATGAAACATTGGATTAGCACATAAGTAAGTAGCTCCAATATTATCACAATATATTGTAAGAATAACTATGGAGTTGACGTTGAGTTCCTTGAGCAAATTTGTGACCCAATTGAGTTCAGCAGCGGCGGTCGCGATGATACGGTATTCAGCTTCAATTATAGATCGTGCAACCGTATTTTACTTTTTAGAACTCTAACTGATTGAAGTAGCTCCAAGGAAGACAATGTATCCTGACGTAGATATTCTATCATCAAAGTTCCCTGCCCAATCAGCATCAGCAAAGGCATGAAGATGGAGTGAAATATTTTTACGAAGAAAAATACCATGATTAAGAGTCCCTTTAAGATATCGTAAAATTCGTTTGACCACAGACTAATGCGTAGTAGATGGTCGATGCATGAATTACGATAATTTATTGACGGCAAATAAAATATCTGGACGGGTGAGAGCCAAATACTGTAAAGAGCCAAGGACTTGTCGATATTGAGTCGAATATGTAGCAGGACTTCCATCACATAATTTAAATGATTCACTAGTAGAGAGAGGAGTTGTAACCTCTTTCGCATCCTGCATGTTTGTCTTTGATAATAAATCTTGAATATACTTTCTTTGTGATAGGAAGAGACCTGAAGATGTAAATATTACTTCCACTCCCAAAAAATAGCTTAAAGTTCCTAGATCTTTGAGGGAGAATCGATTGGCCAAGTGCTTTAGAAATGCCTGAGTCTTCAAAGGATCATTTCCTATGACAATAATATTATCCACATATACTAAAAGATATATTATGCTTCCATTGTGTTGGCAAATGAATAACGAGGTATCAGACTTGGAATTGATGAAGCCAATTGAGGTAAAAAACGAGCCAAGCTCGTTATACCAAGCCCTTGGAGCTTGACGAAGTCCATAAATAGCTTTTTGAAGTTTGCAAACATGCCTCAGATATTGAGGATGAACGAAACCAAGAGGTTGCTGCATAAAGACATCTTCAGTAAGTGTCCCTTGTAAAAAGGTATTGTTAACATCCAATTATCGTATGTGTCAGCCCTTTGAGATGACCAAACTCAAGATAAGACGGATTGTTGTGGGTTTAACAATGAGATTAAATGTCTCTATGAAGTCGACACCAGGTCGTTGATGAAACCCTTTGGTGACTAGACGTGTTTTATATCTGGCAACGGATCCATCTGGGTTCTGCTTAATTCGAAATACCTATTTACGCCCGATGATATTTTGTGTGTGATACCATGATAAAAATTAAATGAAGAATATAGAAAGATAAAAATTATAGAAGAAATTATGAAATGTATAAGATGTAATTGTCTAGTTCATTTTGATAGTATTTATACACACTCAGCTGGGAGGTTATACACATTCAACATTAAAGGATTTTTTTATACACATTCAATATTAAGGATTTTTCTCAACTGATTTCAGATTTTGATAGTGGCATCCTCGAACTCTTGCAGCGTTCCAGTGCCCACGCCAAGACTCTCGAGGACGGCCCCATGACGACCAAGAACAAGGACCAGATGTGCCTGGAATCTGAGATCGCTTCATCCCTGTACAGAACACACGTTGTGAGTAGTATACGGTGGCCTTCTGCTGCTCATCACAAAGTCAACGTACGTCAACAACACACGGTCGAGAATTGACCAAGTCAAGAAACGTGACGATAACCCATGGCTTTGATACGAATGCCGACTCTACTGGATAAGACAACTTCAATTAGAACGTAGTAATCTTTAACATAGTATGCTTTCCTAAGAAAAAAAATCAATTTAATTATGTGAATTATGTTAAATGGAACCTCATATAATTTAGGTATTTCCACTAATAATATAAATAATTTTGGAGTTTTGGAGGAATATATATGCCAAACTTAGTTGGGGGGAATATATATATATATGTCAACAATTGTGTCTTTTAATCCGATCGAACCGGTTCGAGTTGCAATCTTCTGGCTCGGTCCGGCTCAGAATTAACCACACGAACCAAAATTAGCGCGTACCGATTTCCATCCAAATGCCACGCGCTCCGGTTGTCGCACCGCAACCAAAATAACTCGTAAACTGCAAGTAATACGCGGACGACGGACGACGGACACCGACTCGGTAACGTCCGCCGTTTCCCTTCAGTTTCCTTCTCCCTCCCTTCCTCTCCCCGGTAGGTCTCCTCTAACCACAAATCTACGTCTCCGGCGTCGGTCAACCTCTGATCGCTCTAAGATTTGGGGAAATCCTTTACGTGGATTTCGATCCTTCTGGCCCTGATTCATCTTTCTGAAAGGTATCGTCATCGTCGCCTTCTTTCTTAGATAAATCGATCGCGCTCGACAATTTGGGGAAAATTATTTTGGATTTCAATTCCTTCTTTCGTGGATTGATCATTCGCGATCCCGATCCACAATTTCGGGGAATTCTTGCCGTGGATTTCGATTCTTCTGTCCGTAATTCTTCGTTCTGAAAGGTATAGTCATCATCGCCTTCTTTCTTGGATCGATCGGTCGGTTTGGTTTAGTTTTAGGGTTTGACTGTGGTTTCTGTAATTTATAGCGACGCCTTAATTGCGCTTCCGTATGGTTTTCCTTCGTTGTCTTATTATGATTATTGGTTGTCTGCTGAAGATGCTGCGACATATGATTGTTAGGTTGCTTATTTTCGCCATTCTCAATGTTATTTTATGTATTAATTGATGGTTTGATTTGTGCGATCGTTTTAGGTGATTTTTTGTTTTCAGTGATAGAAACGATAAATTGCTCTCCATGTTTTTCTTTTATTGATAGATACCAGCACCTGCCACGATGAGTTGGATGCTTCCATTTTTTGGGTAAGTCCCAATCGTCAGATCATACGCTTGCAGCAGTATCTTTTTTACTTGGGCAAACCTGAATCGTTGAAGTAGAAGCTGACAGCTTAACATTTACTGAAACACATTCTTTTACTGATCTGATAGTAGTAGTAGTATATATGTTTGTTGGTTATGTACTCAGCCATCCTTGTAGTCCTTTGTATATTAAATGGAATACCAAGTTACATATCAGTTCTTTATATCAGTTGTGATGTCATAATCCTCGCATTTTACTCAGCTTATACATTAACACATCATAAATCAAGCCTAAACTGCAAAGAATTATTAGACCGAAATAATGTATTGCTGATTGATTTTCAACTATTTGAATTTCCTTGAGAAATTAGCTCTTTCTCTTGTACCACCAATCTAGCAACCAATTAATCCTTTTGATGACAGTCCCTTTGGTCATCCTGCTGAGACATGTACGGATTTGACCTGGGCCTTCTCTTGCATGCTTGGATTGTTTGTCGAGGGATAAACATGTTGGAGGACCCACATATGAGGGTCCTAGAATAATCATCGAAACTTTAACATATTAAAACAACAATAAGATGAGTCAGTTTGAAAGGGAGGGAGAGTTGGAATCTTCTTGACATGCATTGGAGGAATCAAAATCTTCATGTTTCGGCCCATAAAATGCTATACAAGTATTTAGTTTGAAATGTTAAAACCATGGATTCATGTGCTAGCATAGAGCACATGCCGAGTCAATGTTAGTTGAGTCGACAAGTAGCTAGGCCAAATTTTTGGCCGATAAGGCAAAACTGATTGACAAGAGATGGTACATACTATGTCAGATATCTGCATGTCTCCATTTAGTTAAAGTTAACTTTCCATTTACAAAGTATGCATAGATACACGTTGTAGTACAACAAACATTGCATTGGAACTTAATCTTATAGTTACTTCTTTGGTGTTTGTTCTCTTAATTTTCTGTTTTATATAATTAATGTAAATTATATTCATATAGGATGCTGCCTTACTTCATTAATTAGGTGAATATGCTATGCAAAATTGCAAATTCAATCATATGCATATCTGTTTCTTGAAGTTCCCTTTTCTTTTTGCTTACAGGGGCAACCAACAGCAACAACCCCATTCAAATTTGCAAGAAATACCAACACAATCTTGGTATCCTTCATCAGTTGCTAGTTCATCTTCACGCCCCACTACTCCGGTCAGTTCCTCTGGTGTTGATACCCATCATGCGCAACCTTCTCCTGCAGAAGCAGCTGGAGTAATTGCTTGTTTGAAAGAGAAAAGGTACTTCTTCTTTTTGCAGGTTGCTCAACTACTTCTTAAGTATTTATTGTGCTTAATTAATACACAAAAATTATCTGGTTGCATGGACATACTTCATATCTGGATGTCTTTGTTCTGTGTCTCCTTTAGACCAGCTGTATTATGTCATCTTTTTTTCTGATGAGATAGTATAAATTCTTTGTATACAGATGGCTCTTCACATGACTCTAGTGGAATACAATGTGAAATAAGAATGGTATAGGCTTATTCAATGCATTGAATAAATGATATAGATTTGCATTATTCAAATTGAATGGAGTACATTGTGAAATAAGAATGGAATATATTGACTACTAAATGCATTATTCAAATTGATTACACCAAAAGGATGATATAGATTTGCTCCTACATATGGATGGATGTATGTAATCCTTGATCATTCCATTGATGACTCATAATTTTTATTACATAGATTTGATGCTTTAAATATTAAAAAATATTGATACTATTGAGATCTTGAAGTGTCAAACATGAACTTTTTGATATAGTTAGTCCACTCCAATTAACGGCCAGAAATAAGAAAGCTGAGTTAGTCATTCCGATTAAGAGAGTCTGAATTCTTTAATAATTTTAGCAGTGACACATAATGCTGACTATTTAGATTAGATCTATAAAAGGTATAACAATATTGTGATACAAATGAAATCCTAAAATAACAAATATAAAATAGTTAGAAATTTCTGCATCCACCTCGGCCAGCTTAGCATCTGCCTCCTGTCGCTGCCACCTCTTCCTTGCATTGCTGCCACCACCACCTCATTTCATATGTATCATCTCCTCCTCTTCTCCTTCTCGTTTGCCTCTTCTCCTGCCTTTTTCTCCTCTTCTTATTCTCCTTTGCTTTTCTTTCCACCTTTTCCTCGTCTTCTTCCTCCAAGTTCCTCCTTTCTTCTCTCCCACTTCCTCTGTAATTTAGACGAATTGACCTGGATCAGGTATTAGTACCATGGTACATTCTAGTACCTTAGTGGTCCAGCCACCAAGCGATATTGCCACCAGACCAAGATTTTAGACTTTGGCTGGAACTACGTCAGCATCTCATTTCTAGTTGGGTTCAATCCAAAGGATTTGTCAATGGACTGAACTTAACTTGAGAACTTGATTCACTATACAACATCATGTGATTACATTCATTACAATCAGTAAGTAATCACTTAGCTTCAGGAATGGATTGTGAATATTGCAGTGCTTGCTTTATGTTTCATTGAATCACTGTTTAACGATCAAAGATGCTTTGCAACTTTGATTTATTTAAGTTCTAGCTTATTTTAAGTAGTTGTTCAAATATAAATGTACTCAAACAAATGAATATAATCTAAACATTTAAAAATACTTGAGAGGTCATCACAACAGTTGTGGCACCCCAATAACCTCACATTGGAAGTAGATGTTGTTTTGGTTTGATATTTAAGAATAGAGGGGTGACCAACAAGTAATTTTGGCTTCAATACTATTTTTTGTTGTGTGCTTAAGGGTTTGCTGTATCCCAATTATTAGACTAGTATGTCTATCAGGTTGGCCAATGAATAATGATATTATGTGTCTGTCTTAGTTATAATTTTCAATATTTAATTTATCAAATCATTTAGCTGACTGTATATATGTCTTTGTTCATTTTGATTACAATTCTTTATTCTTTCTTTCTTTTTTTGAAAATGCAGTGTTGATGAATTGAGAAAGCTGTTAAATGACAAGGAAGCATATAATGCTTTTTTTAATTTACTTGAGCAAGTTAAAATTCAGAACAATGTAAGTCTGCAAGTTATGTTAGTGTTTTTAAGTATTTATGCAATTTTACTCTCTTCGTTTGCTATATTCAGTTCTTTATGTTCAAATGCTCATTGTACAATATTGGGCAGGTAACCTATATTTTGATGATAGCCTCATAGGAATTTGGCAGCTTCTATTTAATTGCTGTATGTCTTACTAAAAGTTGATAGTACTTACCTACTTGGCAATCCCTGGTATTGTCAAATATCCTACTATAAAGTGCTCACATGCTTACTGAAATTTTATTTTTGAAGTTGTGCTTCACTGATAACCTCTCGTCCCTTTGTCATTTAGGTGGGACTCATAATGGTTTAGCTCTCAATTCGGTTAAGCACTTAAGTGTTGTCCTTAATTTTCCCAGTTCAACTACTCAGGACTGATCCTGAATTTCATCCTCCATCATATATGTTTATGATGGTTACATGATTACATCACTTTGTAAACAAGTCTGGTTGAGCTATAGAGTTAAGTTCCACTGATCTAATTGCTGCTTGAGCTGGCCTGCCTCTCAATTAGTAACATAGCTGTAGATTACATATTAGACTCAGCTTGATGTAAGCTATACACTAGCTGCTTGTTTCATTTTCTCCACTACAATTTTTATCCTGGGCTGATTTAGGTCACTCCTCTTCATCCTCTCTATGCTTTTGTCCTTGTTATACTTGTTAAGTCTGGGGTTAGTTCAAAAATGAATTGGGCTTTATCTTTCAGGTCAATGAGGCCATAAACCACATTCTACCCTTTGAAATGCCATTGATAATTGTAAATCTGTAATATCCACATGGTTCTAATCTCCTTTTTGTAAGATTTTGTGGATGGTTCGGAAGAGTACTTGGCTCTTGTGCTTTGCAGATCAGCAAAGAATTGTTAAATTAAAGAACTATTTGGTGCACAATGATAATGGTTGTCTTCTTCCACCTTCTGCTGAGCACTTCTTTGAATCCAAGATTGGACCTGAAGGTTTTGGAGGCCTCAGTTATCTATTAGGCACATGACTTGTGAAGCACAAACACTTCTAAACACTTGTCATTGTCTGTTCTTTGTCTGTGTTGGACAACAGCACTTATTGGACACTTCCCAAGAGTCCAAGACATTTCTATTATTTTGAAAAAATAGGACATGTGTCATATTTATATTATAAGCCACTTACATGGCATGTCAACTATAGATAGTATGTATGTTCCTTGGATTTTGTAACTTAATATGATTTCAATATCTTTACTATTTTGGATATGAATTAGCAAATTCTGTGCACTTTATAGCTATTGAATCTTGTGCCTATGTATGTCATGTATCATGTGTATCAACCTAGTTGCATCATGTGAATCTCCTGTGTCTATATGATCTTAAGAATGACCAGCCAATGCATTAGGTTCTCACTGATGTGAGGCTTGCAGAGGGTTAATATACAAATTCTTACCCTTGCAAACAATGAAGATATTTCAGTATCTCGAACCCTAGTGACCCTTACCTAGATCACCATGGAATCATATTATCATGACATTAAGGCTCACCCTCTGTAGTACACCATCTTATGTTTTTACAGAACATGATTGGTGCTTGCACTACTATAAATGGGAAGATGGGTGAGTTGATGCCAAAGCTCAGAGACAGAACCAAGATCTAGAAAGTTTTATTTGTTGTCACATTTTTTGGATTTATTTGAACTCTTATGGGCCTCTTTAGTTATACATAGGAGGAAATCACTACCATTTTCCATGTTAGATTGTTGGGTTTAATTTTGTTGTACGCAATGTATTCATTTTCAATGTTAATTGATATTCAATCATTTTCATCAGCTACGTGATGAACTTCGGAAGGAAACCGTGCAACTTGCTAGTAAGTTTTTTTTTTTGGGTGTGCTCTACATATTTTATACTTGAGCTATTTCACCAAAATGGCAACTCTATCTACCTTCTGCAGAGGAGAATTTGGAGAAGGAACCTCAAATCTTGGAGCTAAGAAACCAGGTAACCCTTTGATGCTCTACTTCTCCATGTTCAGTGGTTTACAAATGTTGTAGTAACATTCTGACCAACAATTCTGCATAATGGTAGCAAGAACCTGGTCCTGGTAGACCCAGACCATGGGATGATGCGTTTTTTTAAGTGTTTGATTTGAAGTGAATATAACATTTTTATGTAAGTACTGTCAACAACTTGTTATAATTCTTAGTCACCAATCTCCGCACAGTGAAAATTCTGCAAAAAAAACAAAATGAAAGTCTGCAATGTAAGACTACAACCTCTTGTAAACTGCAATGTGGGATGTAATGTTGTCGATACCTTTCTAGCATGGCATGATGTAGTGTAGGTCAGCATGTCTCTTTGCCAACCAGTGTATCTCAAAGATTGACCTAGCTACTTGTCAGCATATTCAGCTGGCCCTTGCTGTTACTTAGCCTCCTTTCCATCTGTATTGCTTGATAGACTAGAATTTTTCAAGTTGATTGCTGTTTTTTTACCCTATTTTTCTTTCGCTTTTGTTGACAGTTCAGTATTTAATACTTTCCTGGTTCATCGTGGTCTGCTTGTACTAAATTCACAGTGCACAATCATTCGAACAACTGAGCTGGCTGCTGCCCAAGAAAAGTTAGCAGAACTGGAGATGCAGAAGGAAGAAGCTCTGAAGACCTATTCGCCATCAGTTCTCTTGGAAAAGTTGCATGGTAAGAATCCCCTCGTGGTCATAAGAAAGCTACGCATTTGTATCTTTGCTATTTTAGCCAACATTTTCCATCATATGGATGCCCGTACAACTTAATGTTTGAGGGATGATGGTTATCCACATGATGTGCATTTCTTTCCTTGAATTGGTATGCGCCTAACATAGTAACATTGCAGCCTGCCTGATCTACATCATTATATTTTTCTATCCATTTTTATCCACATGAATGCCACCCATGTACATATAATATGCCTACATTTATATAGCATATATTAATTATTATGCTCAAATAGATAACTTTTTTGCTTGAACTTATCCAGCCGCAATGATCGAAGTTGAAGAGGAATCTGAGATGCTACACAGGCAGCTTCTCGACAAGGAGATTGACCTTGCCACTTTTGTACAGAAATACAAGAAGCTCCGCAACACTTATCACAGACGGGCACTCATCCATCTTGCTGCAAAGACATCTGGTTTCTAAATTCAACTTGTTCTTGCTAAGATGCTGTCACGAGTACCACCGTGCATTACAGTTCAGCTGCTTTTTTTCTTTTACCTTTTTGTTTCCTGTGGCGAGCCGAGGGCCATCATCTGTCTTCATATCACTGGCAGGTTCATTAGTACCTCACTCTGCCGAAACTATGGTTCACGCTGTGCAAACAAGTAGGGAATAGGGTGTGTGCCAAGCTATCGTTGTTAGGCGACATATGTATGAGATGCATTCTCTTCACTTTATATAGTGTTGGTTCAAAAAAAAGAGTCAGGTTGTTCGAATCATTAAAACTCATGTTGCTTCACATGTTCTTCACTTGGCATGGCCCTCATTTTCCATGCTTAATCGTTGGATGCCCATATGGCCCTAAAATAGGCATGTACTTTGTGCTTTGAACAGTAAGTGTTTTGATGTGAGCATTTGAGATGCAGCGTTGAAGCTCATAGCATGATATCGAGGACTCACATGTTCTTAAAAGGCCTTACTTATATATAGACAAACGAGAGCAAATGGCCTATAAAAAGATAATTAGGAGTCCCTCCCATAAAGATTTATCTAATATAGAGTAGATTTTTTTTTATTAACCGATGAAATTAATCAAAATCTAATAAATCTTAATCTCATATATTTTATTGATCCGAATATATCTTAACCAATTATTCAGTGTTATAAAATCTAAAAATAGACAGATCGGATGTCTTTATAAAAATATTATCTTTAAGTATCATTCTAATTTTATCGGATGTTTTCATAAAAATAAAAATAAAAATTATTTTAAGCTCTCTAACTTTTGATAAATAGATTTGTTATATCATTACTATATCAATTACTAAACCAATATGAATTGACTATAGCCAAAATGATTCATCTCCCCTTTTTCAATAATTTCACTTTCCAAATAAAAGTTTCATTTAAGAAGGAACATCTAATTGAAAGCAAAATCCTTGGAGGCTTGTATTATGTCAAAACAGGATATCATCAATCGAAACCTAATATTCTAATAAAATTATTTACTAAAAATTAATTTTTAAATGGATCTATTAGCAATTAAATAAACATAATTCAATTGAATTTAATACATTAAATATTAAGTACTAATATAAATTAGTGGATCAAGGCGATCAAAATTAGCAGACTCTTTTCTTGGACTTATAATTCAAATTCAAAACCTCAAATAAATCTGAAATTTGATATATAATCATAATCATTATCCCTTTATTTTGTTCATAATTAGAGTGATTAAGGATTCGAGTCACCAATATAATTTCTCCATTTGTGATCGTCCTCAGGTTCTCTAATGATATTATTGCATGTGACATTGACTCTCTCCATATTCGATATGATCATATCTTTTGAGATTTAGTGAGATCATCACATGCATTAAGTCTTTATATAACTCGTTTATTTTATGTTTCCTTACAAGAAGATTACAGGTGAACGAAGACAGCGTGGCCGGGCCCCACACATGTATGGCCCCACATCTATGAATGAATCTGTCCCCCCTCATCCACTCTATGACGGAGACATCAGTGTCGAAGCGCACTCGACCCCTAATTCCGTCTTCGCCCGTCTCCTCGTTCGCCGGCTGCTTCCGGGTCGTCGCCACTTCCCCTCCGGCCTCTCTTCGCCCTTCCCCTCGTTCGCCGTCTGCTTCGGGGCCGTCGCCATTTCCTCTCCGGCCTATAGGTAACTCTCTCCCGCCGTCTCTCTCCTTTGCTTTCTGATGTATGTTTTCATGATTTATTGAGGGTTTTCATCTGGCTGGAGCCGAAAGCCCCTTTTTCGCTTGCTTGCTTTCTTCTTCTGCTTTTTGGGAGTGGCATCCGTCTTTGTTTTGGCGTGATCGAGCACGGAACCTATTTGCTTGAATGCATGCTTGAATGCATGCACGGAACCAACGCACTACGCACCTTGATCTCAGCAAGCCAAGCTCCAAGATTGTGGTAGGATGAACGGCTTCTTCTTTATCTGAGAGGAGCGAAGAAGGTGGCAGAGATGGAGAGAGACCACGACGAGACCGATCTTAAAAATCCATATCTGGATCGTACGATCTTGCGATCCTACGGCCTGGATCGAAGTGGTTGTTGAACCAGATAGAAGCATGGGCTCGGGCTGACCAAACGGAGTCGCTCTCCCTCTTTCTCTTGGCTGACCAAATCTCTCTGCTTCTTCCCTTCTCCCTCCGATGGCCACCTTTCTCTATTCCACCAAACAGAGTTGCTGCCACGAGCTCCTCTCCTCTCTGTTTCTTACACAGTCCCGCCGCGACCGTCCTCCCTTCTCTTCTCCTTTCCCGCCTCTGCTTATATCGTCCAACGGCAGGCCCTCCTATGCTTCTTTCGTCGAACATCACCACCCTCCTCTATTTCTTTGGTCGAGAGGCAATTTCCGCCTTTTTCGTCGAACAACACCCCCTGTCTTCTCTCCTCCTCCCCTCTGCTTCTTTCGTCGAACAACACCCACCACACCCCCTCCTCTCTCTCTCTGTCTCTCTCCTCTGCGCTCCTCCTCAGCTTGCTCTACCAAGAGAGCCGCGCCGTCACCGAGCTCTCCGCAGGTCCCTTCCTTCTCTCTGCATCTTCACACCCCCCACCCTTCTCTCACTTACCGACAGCTCCCTCCCCCAAGCTTTCCCCTCTTCTTCTTGTTAAGAAGGGTTATCTTTTGTTAATATTAATTTATGAATTGTTTAAAGGGCTGAATTTGACATTGCTGGTAGTTTGGGTTGTTTTGGATTGCCTCGGATGAATTATCGGCAAGAAGTGGACCTTGATAATCGTTGATTTTCTTGATGAAATTCTTGGAATTTTGATGTTAACATTCTTTAGTTTTGTCATTTTCATTGTTATATATGGACAATGGAGCACATTAATGTGTTATAGATGGTTAAATGAATTAAGTCGGTGGTTTAGTAGTGACATTTTGAATAGGAAACGTTATGAAACTTATGTATTGACTACTTTTTATTCTAATAATTGTATTTCTCCTTAATGATATTTTTCACCTATGTTTGTTTCGGCAAGCACTTAGCGGCCCGAGCATTTTGGAACTTTGGCACTTTTTGCGCCTACCACCTTTGACAACATTGGTTTGATCATGAATGAAAGTAAATATGCTTGGTGAAAATTATTCCTAGTATATATTTTTGCAAGTTTGTTTGTCGTACAATTCCTACAATCGAATATCGTTGTAATCTTGATACGTTAAAGGACTTGTAACTTTGTTGATGAAAAATATATTGGTGCACTTTTTGGGCATGCAAATGCTTTCTTGCTATTTTGCTTCTATGTAGATAAACAATATGCCTAGACAAAATTGATTTTGCAACCAATATGTTGTATTCTTTGAGGCACCTTTTTCCCTTGCATGACTTTATAATTTTATCAAACTAAGTTTAGCATTATGATGTCATGAATATGGACCTAAAAATAATGTGATGAGGTTCAAAGGTAGAATATGGTAAGAGCTGAAGTTCGATAAACTGCTTGGTAATTTCTTGAGTTTGTCCTTAAGGAAGCCACTGGTAGAGTAATGTTTTAATGAGCTTGATTGTCTGTTATGGTGTAAATAACATGTTAAAATTGTTTGGATCCAAATAATTGGATTGGTGGATTGTGCTGCTCTCAAACTCAGTTGGTGATGATTTGGTAAGATTAGGTTGGATATGCTTTTGGTTTAGTTTCATGCAACCAGAATTGAGTTAATTTTTATCTATATAGATAGATAGATAGATAGATAGATAGATATAGATATAGATATAGATATATGTTTTGAAACTTGCCACTAGAAACCAGATATTTTTTTTTTAATAGCTGGAATTGCATTCTGTTCGTATCTGCATTTGGCCTAACATACATTTGACTCTTGTTTCTTGTCTCTAAATGATTTTATGGTGGAACTCTTTCTTTTTCACTTGCTGCTTAACTTTAGTATACATGTAGCAAATGTGATCTTAGCCTTTGAGATTTACTGACATTTGTATTGCTTTTTCATGCATTTCTGCCTCTGTTGGTTCTTTGTAGGTGAAGAGATCCTTTTTAGTCCTAAGAAGAAGAAAGGATGGACCAATTTGACGATTCTAAACTCTTCTGGGCAGCTCTAGTGTCTCTGTATGTCATATGCCCGCTCACTATTGCATCCCTCCAGTTCCTAGTCGCGCCCTATGGGAGGCATGCCCAGCCTGGATGGGGGCCTCCTTTGCCTGCAGCACTCGCCTGGTTCCTTATGGAGAGCCCTACCCTCTGGCTCACGCTCATCCTCTACCCCCGTGGCCATTATTGGTCCCACCCTATTCCCCTCATTATCCTCACCCTCTATCTCCTCCACTACACAAACCGCACCGTCATCTACCCCCTCCGCCTCCACTTCTCCAAGTCGAAAAAAATGAAGCCTAAAGACTTTCCCCTCTACATTGCCCTCATCGCATTTGCCTTCAACCTCCTTAACGCCTACCTCCAGTCCCGCTCCATATCTCATTACACTGACTATCCCACCACCTTCTCTAATGGATGGTGGTGGATTTGCTTGCGGGTGGCAGCAGGGATGTTGCTGTTTTTTTGGGGCATGGCCGTGAACATATCTTCAGATTCGGTATTGCTGAGGTTGAAGTCAGAGGGAGGAGGATACAAGATACCCAGGGGAGGGTGGTTTGAGTTGGTGAGCTGCCCCAACTACATGGGTGAGATGATGGAGTGGCTCGGTTGGGCAATTATGGCGTGGTCGCCAGCATCCCTGGGCTTCTTCCTATACACCTGCTCCAATCTGGGGCCTCGAGCAAAGGCACACCTTCAGTGGTACCGGCAGAAGTTTGGGGATGAATACCCCAAGTCAAGGAAGGCATTCATACCCTTTGTCTATTGAGCTGCCTCTCAGTTTGATCTCTGCATCTTGAATATCAGGATTTATACAAGAAACATTTACCAGCCTTTTTAATCGAATACTGACTGCAAATACTTGCCTAAACAATATCAGGGTTTAAATAAGAAACATTTAGAAGCCCCTTTTTCAGTCAATACTGACTGATGGTTCTTCATTGTCACCTCCATTCTGTTCTGATTAATAACTTATCATGTTTGTTTCACTGCAAATACTTGCCTAGTAGTGATTTAGCTTCTAATTTTGACATTGAAAATATTATGTTGCAGATCCATTGTTCCTATGCTTTTATTGGATTGCTGGATGTCAATTTATCGATTTCTTATATATATTGAAGACAAATTTGAACCATATTGTATAAAGAAAATGCATCCTGTAAATTCATAGATGTAGCCAGTTCAGTACTATGAATAAATACCCAGCCTAAATCTGCAAACTACCTGAACCATTATGATTCTTAACACACTTGGATTTACATTTATCAAGGAGTTATTGCTGTCATGTCACCAAAATGATATGCCACAACTTGAAACCTTTTGGATCTGCAAAGCTCTAACTACAGGTAAAGAACCAATTTCATTCTGATATCCAAACACCAATGGAAGATCAGAGCCTAAAAGCTGTGCAAGTGACATCTATTGTTGGGTGCAACTGGATTTGTTGCACTCATTCCACATTCTTATTTCATTTAAAGAACCTCTCAATTACTCTGTTAAATTTCAAATTTTCAATCTAAGTACCTTTGTGAATGTTGGTTGTCTGCCTTGGAGTTTGCTGGCTTTATTAATACAAGGGGTATACTTTTCATGGTGTTTGGATTCTTAATTTCCATTAGGGTTGAACTATGCTGTTAGTAATGAACCATCTAAGGCCTGATGTAGGTAGAGGATATAGCATCATGTAAATCTTCTATGGGTTATTTTTGTTGTATTTTATATATTGTTGATTCTCTTAAATCTTTTTGGTATCAGAGCATATCTTGTACAACTACACAATGAGCACCAATATACTGCTGTTTCCAAATGAATTAAACTGACATTTTCATGAAAATTTTTTGTAACTGCTTGTCTCTCAAAAGGGAAATGAGATTAAAGTAAGTAACTACTGTGGTGAATGGGAGATGATCACCAAAAGAGACCGAATGGAAGCAGTACATGAGAAGTATTGTGTGGTGAACAAGAGATGCACCTGCTGCAGTCTTCACCAAGAGGGACTCAGGTTGGAAGTAGTACATGAGAACTACTGTGGGTGGTGGAAGAGAGATGCATCTGCTGCAGCCTGAGATTGCAAGTACATCGTAGCTACTGCATGGTGAAATGGAGAATTACTAAGGTTTATTTCAGCCGATTTATGATTTTTGTCATGTCATGAATCTCTTATGCCCTTATTTTTATATTTTTAAAAACGTGATATATAAATTTTTTCTGTCAAGTTTGAATTACAGCTTTTTATAAAAAGGCATGTATTATATTTACGACTTTTTCAGCTTTTAAAACATCTAATGTGACTGAATATATTAGTTTAGATTCAAACCACTTGATCTGCACAACATCCAGCTGGTCAGAAAGCAAGTTGAAGGTTGGACGCATACTATGTAGCCTCACACAAGGCTTCATATTGAGAACCACACAAGTGTGATAGGCTGCCAAAGGGAGGAGACTGGAGCTCCATTTTCAGGGTCCCACAAGCTAGGGACTTCAAGACAAGGAAAAAGGTCAGGATCCTTCCCTGAAACCCATAACTTCTTCCACCAAAGATCGGAGATTCATGGATTCTTTGTCAAGAGAATAACTGCTCTTGCATTTATTGATAAGTCGACTCGAAGCTTGACTATTCTTTTGAGTCCGTCTAGGATGGATCGTTTGGTTACCTTGATCAGATGAGCTTGGAAGTAGGGACGTAATTTTCGGGCCGCTAATACGAGCGCAAGAGCGAGCTTCTCGATTGGTGGATACCGCTCCTCGGGTCCATTCAGGACATGGCTGGTGTAGTAGACGGGCAACTGCTCGCCGGCTTCTTTGATGAGGACGGAGCTGACCGCATGTTGTGAGGCAGCCAAGTAGATGCTGAGTTCTTCCCCCGTAATCACTGAAGCGAGGCGAGGTAGGTTGGCCAAGTGCCGTTTGACTTGTCGGAAGGCCTCCTCGCACTGGGGCGTCCATTGGAAATTCTTCGGGTTTCTCGTCGCCCGGAAGAAGGCGAGGCAGCGATCGCCCGACCGGGACATGAATCGGGATAGGGCGGCCAGCCTTCCATTCAGTCGCTGCAGGTCTTTAACTGTCCGAGGGGCTTGCATGTCGACGATCGCCTGGACCTTTTCTGGGTTGACGTCGATTCCTCTTTCGTGTATCATGAATCCGAGAAATCTTCCCGAACTGACGCCGAAGGCGCACTTTGCAGGGTTGAGTCGTAAGCCGTAGCTTCAAAGTGTGGCGAATGTCTCCGATAAGTCTGCTAGATGGTCTTCCGGGACGCGGCTTTTTACAATCATATCGTCCACGTAGACTTCTATGTTTCGCCCTATCTGTCGGCCGAACATCTTGTCGATGGTCCTTTGGTAAGTTGCGCCTGCATTCTTCAGCCCGAACGGCATTACTTTGTAAAAATATACTCCTAGGTTGGTGATGAAGGCCGTGTGTTCTTGGTCCTCGGGCGCCATTTGGATCTGATTGTATCCAGAGAAGGCGTCCATGAACGAGAGGCAGGCGTGCCCCGCGGTTGCATTTACGAGCTGATCGATCCTCAGGAGTGGGTAGCAGTCTTTAGGGCATGCCCGATTGAGGCTGGTGTAGTCAACGCACATTCGCCAGCTCCCATTATGTTTTTTCACCAGAACTACATTGGACAACCACCGCGGGTACTTGACTTCTTCTATAAAGCCAGCCGCTAGGAGCCGTTCCACCTCTTCGCAGACGACTTGTTGCTTGTCCGGTGCCTGGGGTCGCGGCTTTTGCTTCACCGGGCGGGCGTCAGGTGATATGTTGAGGTGGTGTTGGGCGGCCTCTGGATCTACGCCCGTCATGTCGGATGGCGACCAAGCGAAAACGTCGGCATTCTCTTGCAAGAAGCCGACAAGCTGCTCCCGCTCCTCAAGGGGTAGGTCTGATCCGACCTTGACGGTTCGGTCCGGGCGGTCCTTTATCAACGGCACGTCGTAGGTCGGTGCCGACGGCTCGGGATGCGGATTCGGCCGCTTCTTTTCCCTTGGATCGTCCAAGGGTGTTTCGGCCTTCGCCCTCTTGTGCAGGGAAACTGCCGTCAGGTAGCACCTCTTGGATTCCCGAGGGCTTCCCCAAACCTCTCCTGTTCCTGCGTGGGTCGGGAACTTCACGGTCTGGTGGTAAGTGGAGACTAGAGCTCTGATTTTGTTGAGGGAGGGTCGGCCAAGGATGGCGTTGTACGCTGTGGGGAGATCCACTACCAGGAAAGTGGACATCACCGTTTTGGTCCTGGGCGGGGTTCCCAGAGTCAGAGGCAGCATGACGACTCCTAAAGGTGAAATCGAGTCGCCAGTGAACCTAGTGAGGTCCGAGCAGATGGGTTCCAGAGCCTCCTTCGCAAGTCCCAGCCTCTGGAAGGCGTCGTGAAACAATACGTCCACCGAGCTTCCTGTGTCAATCATAATTCTTCTCACCTGGGCATTGGCGATTCTAGCCATTATTACGAGTGCGTCATCGTGCTCTGGTCGCTCAGCGCCCTCGGGGGGAAATGCGACCCGGGGATCGGGGGTTCCACGGGGATCCTCATCCCGGGCCGAGCGGGCGTACGCCTTCCTTCCGGACATGCTATCCCCGCCGGACGTTGGGCCCCCTGTGATGACACTGATGAGGCACTCAACGGGGCAGTCCGGGCGGGGCGATGGGTCCCTGCCTGTCTGAGCGTGCGGGTCGAGGTGTCCTTCACGACGGAGCTCATAGATTTGCCGCGACAGCTCGCGGCATTCCTCGGTGTCGTGTCCGTTTTGACGGTGGAAGCAACAATACTTGGACCGGTCGGCCAGCTCCCGCGGGTTCTTCATCGGGAAGGGGGTTTTGAGCAGTCCCCTTTCCCTAATTTGGAGAAAGATCTTCGTCCGGGATGCACCCGCAGGAGGTGGGTGGGGTCTTAGCGGGGGGGGGGTCAGGCCGGTGGAGCTTGCGTCTGGGCGCGGGAGGGAGTTGCCCCCGAGCCGGCTCCGATCTTTCCCTCTTGTGTTCCTGCCGCTTCCCCACCGTCCAGGCTTCGGCCTCCACGAATTGGTTCGCACGTTGGAGCATTTCGGGGACCCGTGGTAGGGGGTCGCTCCACGAGAGACCAGAAAAGCCTGGAGGGGCGTAAGCCTATTACGAATGCCTGCATTGACAAAGAAGGGTGAGCGTCTGGGAGTTTCCGGACCCTTGCCGCAAAGCAATTTATGTAAAGGGAGAGGGGCTCATCCTCCTTCTGGTTGAGCCCGAGGAGGAACGCCA